TAAGTCTTTGATGACCGAAAACAACGACACCTGTAAAGCAGTCGTCGCCACATATTTGGCGGCCATTGTAGAGATGGCTGTCTTGTTCTCCGATAATAATATATGTTTCAAATCAATGCCAAACTCTTTTTCCAGAATTTGATGACATTCTTCAATAGTGTCGGCGAATGTCTTGATTGGCATTAAAGCCTTAGCCATTGCCGGCCACTGACCGCCCAAACCCGGGAATAGTACCCAAAGAGGTCTCACCGTTTTCTCTATCATAAATCCCATCTGTTTTTTGTATTTGTATTTTATTTCTCCATTTATTTCTTCCAAAATTTTCTTTATTATAATTGAGCCTAAAATATAAAATATACATGTAATGTAATAATTAATTATATTTTATAATATTTAAGATTTTTTCATCAAACCTCTGAACTGCATTCCCGATGAGTTAACATTTGGCGTATATTTCATGGATTGTGTCAAAAGTGCCAAAAAATCATTTGTAATTTTCTGGGGATTGTTTTCAATGAAATTCATAATATAATTGACGGACTCTTCACTTCTGCCGCAAATGTTGACAATTCTGGGCATAATATCGGCGACATTTTGGTAATCATCACTTGTGGCCAACTTATGGTTGGGTTCTAGGATTAGGTGTGCGTTCGCACCGCCGATACCAAAACTGTCGATCGCCGCCAAACCTTTAGTTTAATTGTATTCTGGAATTATCTTATTTTTATATAATGTTGTCTTAAAGTAACTGATCTATGCATTTACTACTTAAATGCATACTAATGTTAAATGTATACTTAAATTTACTTAAATCTAACTCTTTATAACTCAAACCATTCTATAAGCCAAACCACTTGGAGTACATCTCTTACACACATCTACAATATGTACAACTTACTTTGTAATTCTATAATTAAATGTTATTATTAATTATTTTTACCAATATAATTTAAGTGTAGAGCATTATAAACTATAATAATAACATAAAAATGATGTCATATAACTTGTTATAATAACTATACTTATTGAAAAAATTATATTATTTATTATTACAGTTTTTAAAAAAAAACTTTTAGCTTTAATTTTTAAGTTAATATTCGCTTAGTTTGCAAAATATTAAAAACTTTGTGTCTAATGTAAATTTTATATTTTAATAACTTTAATAATAATATGTTAAAACTATACCTGGTTTATAAACAAATGGTTTGACCACGGGCATAATTGGTGGCACAAATGGCTGGACATCATCTCTCAATTGATTGAGATTCAAATTCGGAGGAATTAATTCATTTTCATAAGCGATAAGTACTTTGATTAGCGACGAGAGACCGGCGGCGCCCTCCGCGTGACCCATATTGCTCTTCACTGACCCGAACGGCAACGGATCCGTTCGGGCCATAGGTTTGCAGTACGCGTTGTATATGGACTTCATTTCGATCACATCCCCAGCCTTTTAACGCATAAGAATTATATTTATATTTTTAATATTTAATAATACAGAATACAACTGATTATTCACATGAAGGTAAGGGTTGTTTACACAATACAGAGATTAAATAGAGATTAATAATACAACATTAATTAGTAAACTCTAACCTGAGTGCCGGCGCAGTGACCCTCTATGTAAGTGAGTTGTGTCGGGTCTATCCCGGCGTCGGTATACGTGCGGACCATTAGCTCAGTTTGAGACTCACTTCCCGGACGAAACATTCCGTCTTTCTTAAAGCCGTCGACATTGAGTCGAACGGCACGTATGGTTGCGTACAGACGCCGGGCTTCCGGTCGTCGCTGTAAGAGAACACAACACACGGCGTCGGCCTTCACGTAGCCGTCGGACTCGCTGTCCAGTGGAGCGCAAACTCCTCTCTTTGAACACATTCCCAACATTTGCTGATTTAGAGCAATCACTGGTGTAGTCGTCAGATTGCAACCGCACACCACTGCTGTGTCCACATTACCTAAACCATCACCAATTATATCCACCATTATTACATGTTTCCAATAATTTTTGTTAAATAGCAATATTTATTTTTGAACTTTCTCTCTCTCTCTCACCTAAAATTAAGTCATTGACGGCTAAGGCGAGCGCTGATAAACTGGCCGAACATCCGGTATCACAGCTAATAGACGGCCCCCGAAAGCCGTACACAAATGAGACCCGATTAGCGAATATAGACTTCATATTCCCAAAGGAATCGGATATAATATCATTGGCCATATTAGGCATATCCGGCTGTAAGTCCTCTGGCAGTCCATCACAACCCACTATATTAGCGGTGCCGACGTATACACCGGTGCCACAGCCTCGCAGTTGTTGGGGGTGTAAACCTTATAATATAAGAAGTTATTATGTCATATATTATAGACTATAACAGATATAATTTATCACAATATTAATGCATATATTTTTATATAATTTTATTTAAAAACAAATATTTATTGTATTTATCATTTGTTTAATAGGAGAGCACACATACCGGCGTCAACGATGGCCTCATAGACCACTTCCAATAACATGCGGATCTGTGGGTCCATCAGATCGGCGCCCAATTGGCCGAAGAAAGTGGCGTCAAAGCGATCGCAGCTCTCGATAGCACCCAATCGGGGGTTAATTCCAAACAAATCTTTCAATTATATAATAATAGATTTGAATTATTTTATTTTATAAATGAATGACAGTTTTGTTTTGAATGAAACTTTACTCATGAAAATGTGAAGTTTAGAGAAACAAACAACAAATAAATGTTAATCAGTAATTTCTATTCTCATCACAAATAATACAGTATTGAGTTTTTATGATTGCATTACAGTTATCCCTTAAATAGTCATACCTTTTGGCCACCGGTTGTGGTCAGCGGTCATCAAATCTCTGCCGTCGTATAGATTTCGGGCGAATTCGTCGATTGTGTCGGACTTTGGGAATCGACCCGACATTCCGCTAATCACCACATCTTCTGTCCTGTACTTACACTTTGAAGACATGTTTTAGTAAAACAGTTAACCGTTAGCTTATATGTAATTACTAAAAAAATAACTCAATTTTTATATCTAAACAAAAATGTTGCTGTTCTAGTCTATAATGAGTTTAATTTTGAGAGTTTTGACGTTATATACCAAGATCATCATTTTATTTATGCCTATTTTGACAGAATGAAAAAATTACAAATCAAATAGAATCAAATCAAATTATACGAATAAAAATATGATAAAATCTAATGAATAAACTACCAATTATTAAGTTTGTTACGGCATTTAGTGCTAATTAATTAGATTTCAAATGTTAAACAACAACCCGCAGCTATTTTCTAACATACTAGAGCTGTACATATGTAGATTGTGCTGAATATTGTGATTATTATGATGAATTTATAATCAATTCTTAATATAATCACTTATTTTAATTATCATTTTTTTTAAAAATTATTAAAGCCTATAAACTAAAGAACTTAGTTCAACCTTCAACCTTATATAACACCTTGATTATGTCATCAGAATAACTAGAGCTTAAATTATTTAATATGTTTAATGAAAACCTCCCAAATGATGCATTCAAGTGTATATTATACTCGTTAGCAGAATTATTGTCAGTTTGGATGACATTCTGGATGACAGTCTAGACTTTCGATGACCTTATATAACAATCTATCAAACAATTTGTGATCGAATATGACATTAGATTTTGCAATTAAAATATTCCTTAATTTTAAGTTTTAAGAATTTGAAAGTGTGATTATTCTCACTTTGTTAGCAACAAGAACATTTTAACTATTTAACTATTGTGCTGTTTATCATATTTAATGCTCTTATTGTGTTAGAATTTAATAGTTGCTTTAATATAAATTATATTTTATTTGTTTACATTAAATACAAGTAAATATTGTTTTTAACTTATTTAATTTACTAAAATAACATTGAATTATAACAACTGAAAGCAGGAAAGCAGCTTAATAAAATGAACATTTAAATAATTTGCACAGAATGTTTGGTAAATCTTTAAAATTAATTGCTATTATGTAATTGATATGTAAATAAATAGAATAAAATTATTTAATAGTTAAAACTGGTCAGATTTATGAAGTGCTAGGTAATAGCTTAGTTTATAGCTTTATCCAAAATGTAACAGACTTGAGCAATTAACATAATATATAATTATGCAATATATATTTTAAGATTTTAAGATTATTCTTAAAAATATAAAATAGTTAACTTTTCAAATTTTTTATAAACATATTTTTTAATTAATTTATATAAATTATAAACTGACCCTGATATGGACAGATTATCTAGATGTAAAACTTGTCAAAACTCCTATAGCTTCGCTGTACAAATCCAATACATTGTTCACGTGTTTTCAATAAAAGAGTAAAAGCTATGGATGTTTCCAAATATGACTTTTGACAAGTGCTTCACTTAGAGAGACAGTTCAATCGGGTCAGGGATACACACACCCAGACATCAGCACATTTCGTAACTGCTGTTAATTAGGAACAAACAAAATGAAATTAATGTTAATAGAATGATCATGTTGTATCAAGTATCTGGGTATATAACGGGGTATCAAAATTGTGTTCTAACGCTTTACAATAATTGTCTTTATCTGTAATAAGATGTAAGTTTACATTTAGTTATAAAACATGTTCTCTATGTCTGAATGCGGGTCCGAAGATGTAGTGATTGGAGGAATACCCGTTCATTCATATTATATTCAAATTATGTTTTAATAACATATTATAACATGAAATATAGTTTTATTATAAAAGCTTAAATGTTGTCAAATAATTCAAATAAACGAAACATTATATTTAAATTATTTTGTTCTTTGTAAAATTAATCAAATTTCAATTACCATTATATACTATTGATATATTAAATATAGTTGTTTATAAAATTTCCCACTAAAAAATTATCTAAAATATATAATGATAAATCTATTAATTTAGTAATTAGTATATCTGTTTAATAATATTAATTAATTTTATTATTTAAAAATTATTTTTCATGAAAAAAAGAAGTGAAACATTTCTATGGCTATCATTGAAAACAATGACAATAATGTCTTTTATGCGGACGAAGAGTTCCGAAAGACGGCTCACATCTCATCACTCGATGAGTACAGAAAACTATACCAGAAGTCAGTCTCAGATCCCAAAGGCTTTTGGAGTGAAATCGCAAATAACTTCTATTGGAAGCGATGGACACAAGAAGTAGAGGTCGTGTCCTATAATTTCGATGTCACTAAAGGACCCGTTTGTGTGAAATGGTTGGACGGATGCAAAACCAATGTCTGTTATAATGTATTGGATTTGGTTATCGAAAGAGGACTCGGAAATCGTGTTGCATATTATTGGTCAGTGTTTTAATGAATTATGCTTATAAATACAATTAAATCTTTTCTGGCAAATATATGAAATGTTTATTGCAAATAATTTGATGATGGTTAGATTTTTAGTAAATTACATTATTGTATTTTAATTTTTAAAAATAACAGGGAATCCAATGATGGTAATTCACACAAAATAATTATTTACAATGAATTACTGCGTGAAGTCTGCAGATTTGCAAATGTGCTCAAAGAGTTGGGCATTAAAAGAGGTGATAGAGTGGCCATATATATGTCGGTAACCGTAGAGTTGGTTACTGTTATGCTGGCCTGCGCTCGTATTGGAGCCATTCACTCAGTCATTGTACGTTAATTTATAATATGTTTATAATTATTTAAAATGTATAATGTTAACATTTAGTGATCATTTAAATAGTTCGCCGGTTTCTCTGCCGAATCCCTCGCCGACCGTATAATAGATGCCAATTGTGTAGTATTAGTCACTTCTGACGGCGCCTTTCGGGCTAAAAAATTTCTACCATTGAAATCAATCGCCGACTCAGCACTCAATATATGCAAACAAATGTAAATCTTAAAAATAATATTAATTTATTTAACATGTATAAAATAATTGACTATCGTTATGTTTTTATTATGATTTACTTTAGGAACCACAAAATGATGGCTTGTATTGTGAATCCACATTTAAATCTCAATGGGAATGATATAAATGATGTGCTAAACAATAATATTGAGAATAAATGTGGCATCAATTGGGACTCAAATGTGGACATCTTATGGACTGATGTCATGACAAATGTTTGCGATTATTGCGAACCCGAATGGATGGGAGCGGAAGACCCGCTGTTCATACTTTATACCAGGTTTGTTATTGAATTCTATGACCAAGGTGACATAAAATATTATATAAAAGTATTCATTTATCCTAATTATTTTATTATAAGTGGAAGTACGGGAAAACCTAAAGGCATTGTCCACACAATCGGCGGTTATCTCCTCTACTCTTACATAACATTCAAATATGTATTCAATTACACCGACGGAGACGTGTTTTTCTCGACCGCAGACTTGGGATGGATTACTGGCCACACATTCAACGTTTACGGATCGCTGGCCAACGGATGTTCAATAGTGCTCTTTGAAGGCACTCCTACTCACCCAAACCCGGGCCATATCTGGCATATAATAGACAAATGGAGAGTCAATGCCTTTAATACTGCGCCCACTCTTATCCGGTCGCTCATGAAGTTTGGCGACCATTACGTCAAACAATACTCTCGACAGACATTGAAAGTGTTGGGAACGGCGGGCGAACCCATCAATCCTGAGGCGTGGCTTTGGTTCTGGGAAGTGGTCGGCGATCGTCGGTGTCCTGTAGTCGACAATTACTGGCAAACAGAGACCGTATGTTATATTTAATTGCATTAATTTATATTAATTGTGTGCTAAATAACTTAAAGGGCGGACCAATGCTCACGTGCTTACCGGCTGCCACACCAATGAAGCCCGGATCAGCTACACTGCCCTTCTTTGGTGTCATTCCGGCGATACTTAACTCAGAAGGCAGAGAACTGGAGGGCCCGGCAGTGGGACAGCTGGTTATGAAGAATCCGTGGCCGGGAATCGCGCGAACCATTGACGGCAAACACCAATTGTATGAAATGACTTACTTTCAAAAGTTTAGGGGCTATTACTGTACCGGCGATGGCGTCCAACGCGACGCCGACGGCTACTATTGGATGACCGGTCGGAATGACGACACTCTCAATGTTTCCGGACATCTGTTGTCTACAGTAGAGGTCGAGACGGCTGTTGTCGAGCACAGAGCCGTCTCAGAGGCGGCAGCCGTTTCGGCCCCGCATCCCATCAAAGGCCAGTGCATTCACGTGTTTGTTGTCCTCAATAATGGCTTTGAAATGACCGCTGATTTAGAGTTGGATATCAAACGCAGAGGTATTTTATTCACAAATAAAATATCTCTAAAAATGTGTTTTAAAAATATAATCAATTTTTATATCTGATTAAAAGTTCGTAACAAAATCGGAGCTCTGGCCGATCCGGATGTGATTCATGCGGTCAGTTCTTTCCCGAAGATTAAATCGGGTAAAATTATGCGAAGAATATTGACTAAAGTGGCACAAAATGACCGTCAATTGGGCGACACGTCCACAATGGCCGACGAGTTAATAGTCGAACAACTGTTCAACACTCGTGGTATTAAATCATATTAAAGTTTATAAAATTGTTATGACATCCAAATAGTGGTTAAGTTGTTGCGTTAAGTGAAACTTCTGTTTATGATAAAACAACTTAAATATTGTGAATTATCATATCTTACTTTTAACCCATTTTTATATTTTTATACTTTGTTATTAAAGAATATTTTAAAGTTTATATGAATAACATTCTTTATTTTAGAAAATTAATCTTTAAACTTAAATTAGGTCTTAAAAAATATATACATATGTTATAAAATTTCTGTTATATTTAATTGGACAAATATGGTTATTTGAACAAATTTTTTTTTAAATAAAATGTATTTTATATCAAATCAAATATTTAATTTTAATTGAGCCTAATTTATTAATTTGTTTATTTTTATTAATTAATCGAATAGAAGTTAAGGGATTAAGTATGATTCCTAGATACTTGGTAAACTTTTGTATTTTTAATATTTGAGTCACGCAAATGCCAGAATTTGGTTCAATTCTTGTATAAATATATTTGTAATTAATTTAATAAAAATAAATAATTTTACATTACTGAAGGCGAGGTGGGATGAACCCGAGGTGAGGTACAGCTCATACAGAGGGTTCATCTCACCTCGGGTTCATTCCACCTTGGTTTTAGTTATAGCAAATTAATAAAAACAATTGGCAATTGCATATATTTTGTATAGTTTTTTATTTGCTCTTGGTTAGCATATCAAGCTCTGATAAATATAAATGCATTATGTTTGCCAATTTATCAATAAATATACATAATTTACTTAACATACATATATAACTGTTTGTCTTTATTAGTATATCATTTTAGTATAAATTAAAAATTTAGATTATAAATGTGTGATAAAAAGAAAATATTATTACAAATGAATACCAAATATTAAATAAAATGTTAACGCGTTTAAGATTTACATAATTGAGGGTAGAATTAGAAGGTAGACTACGGCAGATAAACCGGAGATTATTAAAAATTAAAATTTTATTAAAATGGTTGGGTTATTAAAATGGTTATTAAAACACTACTGGGCAATCAACTATTTTGGGTTTGTGTCAACTAGAACTAATTAATAAATAGTGTAATTCAAATTACATATTTTATTTTATAATAAAATATTGAATTACTAAAACTACACAAATAGTCATACAAAAATATATAATTAGAATATTTATAATTTATTCTAATCACTACTAATATTGATTATACTGTATTTTTTAAAATAATCACAATTTAATTTTTGATTTAAGCGTAATTCTTGAGAATATCAGAGTTGAGAATATTGGAGGCAATGATACCGCCATCGGAAAGGATGTTGGTGCCAGTGATATATTGAGCATGGTCACTCGCCAAATACAGTATTGAGTCAGCGATGTCCTCGGGATGACCGTAACGGCCGACCGGCACTGCCTTAGCATAGGTTTCAAACAACTTGTCGGAGTCGGCCTGTGATGCGCCCATAGCTGTGAGAAAGTCAGTGCGAACTGACCCGGGGCTGTGGGTTTACCATGATTATTGTTTGCTAATATTAACATGTAAATCAATATATGCACACTTACTGAATTGCATTCACTCGAATACGTTTGTGGCCCAACTCAACGGCCATACACTTAGTAAACATATCCATTGCACACTTTGCCATACAATACGGTGCATAGTCTAAGAACTGGGTTGTTTTGTATTAATATGATTATAGTTAATATAATTCTATATATTAATCTAAATAGAATGTTAGACTGAATAGATATTTACAATTCTTTTAGCGCCAATACTCGAGACATTAATGATATTTCCTTTAGTTTTCTCCAAATACTCGATACAAATATGAGTTAAATAGACCACAGAATTGAGATTAATTGCCATTAATTTCTCGTATTTCTCGTAGAAATCCTTATCGTCGGGTCTGGTGTTGATTCCAGAGCCGGCGTTATTGACCAGAATATCAAGTTTACCAAAATGTTTGATAGTCTGGTCGACGAGACGTCTCATGTCGTCCTTATTGGTCACATCCGCCGACACTTCCAGCGCTTTAATGCCTTTCGGCGATACTTTCAGACACTCTTTGGCCACTTCTGTGAGTTTGTCGGCTCTCCGACCGGTGACCACAACACTGGCACCCGATTGGGCGAAATGGACAGCAGTGGCCGCACCGATACCCGAACCCGAGCCCGTGATTAACACCACTCGACCCGTAAAATCATATTTAACAGACATTGTATTTATTATATGTTTGAAATATAATATCTATAGATAGTTATTAAAATGTTGTAACAGAAATTATGTTTACAATTTAATGCATAAAACACTTTTAAAAATTAGAAGTAAGTACCATATAATATCATATATATTATTAAGTTAATAGTTAATTTTATTCATTTATTCGCTTATTTTTAATATTAATAATATTTTGTGTACAGTTTGATTGAATTAAATTCACACAACGTTAAAAGCATTAAAAGGATGCGATGAAGGATAATTATTAATTTTAAAAATTTTAATTTCTATTATCCATCACCCGAATAAGTTGGTAACCCTAAAATTGCACTGCAACCCTTGATAAATAAAACCAATCATGCACGTTGTTATAGTGCAAGTTCTCTGAGTTTAAATTTTTGTACTTTTCCGGTGACAGTGCGGGGAAAGTCAGGCACAAACTCTATGCTCTCCGGTATCTTAAAATGACTGATCTGGAGATGAATTTAGATTTGGATCATGTTTTATGTTACATAACAATCACACTTATTATAGGTAACACACCTTTCCTTTGCAGTACTCCTTAACAGCTTCAGTGTCTAACGCGTCGTCGGCTTTAAGCTGAATATATGCGGCCAACCGTTCGCCCAGACGTTTGTCAGGTATTCCCACCACTTATTGGTGTGCATTATATTGTTATTTATATTATCAACAAATGAACACATGATATACGTGTGCGGCTGCGATGGACGGGTGGGTCATTAGAAAGTCCTCCACCTCTTTGGGGT